AAGAAAGCCATAGGTTGTAAATGGGTTTATAAAACAAAACATAAACCTGATGGCACTGTTGACAGGTTCAAGGCTCGCCTTGTTGCAAAAGGGTATACACAATTGGAAGGCATTGATTATTTTGACACCTTCTCACCAGTTGTCAAACTCACTACTGTCCGATTAGTTCTCTCCTTGGCTGCTGCAAAGAATTGGCCTCTAAGGCAACTTGATGTCAACAAAGCTTTCTTACATGGAGACTTAAAAGAGGAAGTATACATGCAACCCCCACCGGGATTTCATGATTCTCACCACAACAAAGTATGTCTTTTACATAAATCTCTCTATGGCTTGAAGCAAGCCAGCCGCCAAAGGTATGACAAACTATCCTCTTTCCTTTTCTCTCACATGTTTACTCAAACTTCTGGTGATCATTCCCTCTTTATCAAATGTCATGGTAATACAATCACTATCTTACTAATTTATGTTGATGATATCATCCTTACTGGTAATGATATGCATGACATTGAACACATCACCAATATACTCAATGCAAAATTCAAAATAAAAAATATGGGTAACTTGTCTTACTTTTTGGGTTTCGAGGTTGCTCGTAACTCTGCAGGTATCCACCTCTCCCAGCGCAAATATGCCTTGGATCTACTTCACGAAACTGGGATGCTTGCTGTTGCTCCTGTCAGTACTCCCATGAATTTCTCTGCTAAAGTTTCCTCTGAAGGTGAACAACTTGCTGACCCCACTGTTTTTCGTCGTCTGATCGGGCGTCTCATATACCTTACTAACACCCGCCCGGATATAACCTACGATGTTCATCGCCTCAGTCAGTACGTTGCTTCCCCTACTCAAGCTCATCATCAAGCTGCTTTTCGCATCCTCCGCTACATCAAAAATACCCCTGGTCAGGGCATTTTTTTTCAAAGCCACAAGCAACATCACCTTGAAGGCTTACAGCGATTCTGATTGGGCTGGGTGCCCTGATTCCAGAAAGTCTACCACTGGCTACATTGTTTATCTTGGAGACTCACCAATTTCATGGAGGTCAAAGAAGCAACCCACTGTTTCTCGTAGTTCCTCTGAAGCCGAATATCGCGCCCTTGCTCAAACTGTTTGTGAGATCCAATGGCTTACTCAACTCCTCAACGAACTTCATATTTCTCTATCCCAACCTGCCAACGTCTTTTGCGACAATCATTCTGCCATTAAAATAGCTACCAATCAAGTCTTCCACGAACGCACCAAACATATTAAAATCGACTGCCATCTTATACGTGAGAAAGTTCAGCAAGGAATTGTTAAACTTCTCCCTGTGCATTCTGCTCTCCAACTTGCCGATATTCTCACAAAGCCGCTTCCTCCTTCCACCTTTCACCACCTAAATTCCAAGCTTGGCACAATTAATATATATGCCAAGCTTGAGGGGGGCTGTCAGAAATACAGTTTCAACTAATCCTATGCACCGCACCGCTTCCCATTTATTGCTTTCTGTTTTTATCTCCTATATATGTACCCTTTTATCACTTTACTGTATAACACAATACTTTTTCATATATCAGATTTCTTCTTCTCCTACTTGATGCCTCTCTCTTTTCTTTTCTGGATATATCATGAATACTTTCACGAAGTGTGCACATATACTGTCAAACACTACTGTAAAGCTATCTTTGTGTCCCCATAATCTGTGATGGTAGGTTAAATCTCTACTTCCTCTAAATATGTCTTTAATCTCTCACTATTGGGGCAGAATTTAGGAGGCTTGATCCCAATATCTTTTTCTATATAACTTAGTATATAAACAAAAGTTTTTTTTTTTAATTTTAGAATAGAATATTTTATGTATTTGATATTTTAAAAAAAATTATACATTTATACTTCTAAAATATTTTCGGAAGACATGACACTGCTCACTTTCCTTGTTTTTTGCCTCTCATTGGGTAGTGTCACACGGAAAGCTTTATTGTTTTGAGACCTTGAACATATTCAATAAATATTACAAAAATATCAAATTTTATGAAAGGTTAATTTTTATATTATCCACGATTTTAACTCTTGTTAAATATATTTTCCACAATTATGAAAATCTTTTAAGAAAATAGTGTTGGTAAATAATTATGGATGGTTTTTGTTTAACGACGGTTATTTGTGGAGGTTTTCAGAACCGTTACTATTAGCGGATATTTCCAAAAACAGTGTTACTTGTCAAGTGTTACTATTAATCATTTGGTTAATAATGATCAGTGCTCGACGACAGCACCTCCCGACAACCTCTGATGATGATGACAGCCTGCTTAGACCATTAACGTATAAATATTTTTCAACTTATTTGTGTGTCAATCTCGAGTGGATCATTGTTTTAACAAGTTAGACACCGTAAGTGAAAATTTAACGAAGATGACTTAATTGGCTCATTTTAACAAGTTTATGGACTCGATTGAGATCGGAAAGAAAAACGATGATCCACTTGAGATTGACACTCAAATACGAGGAGCAAATGAGTTAAACCTAAAAATATTTTAATAAAAATATCAATTTTAATAAAATATTTATATAAATTTTAAAAATTAAAGTTAATTTCAATTTTAAGAATATCAAAATTATTTAATTTTAAAAAATTAAGATTGAATTGAGATAAAATAAAAATATAGAGAATAATACAATAACATTTAATATGGTAATATTGTACGGTGAGTTTGATACCTAACAAATTTTAATTTTTTAAAATTTTAAAAACACAAAAAACAAAATAAAAAATTTGAATTTTTTAAAAGTTAAAAAACAAAATAAAAATAATTAAAAAATAAAAAAATCATAACTTAATACGTTACTTTTTTATCCATGTTAGTTCAATATTAACCGAAGAAAAAACTTGATTACATTAAAATTTTTAAAATAAAAATTTAAATTAAAATAAATTAAGAGATCAATTTAAGATTTTTTACTAATAAAAATGATTCAACATTTTTTAAGAATATCAAAATTATTTAATTTTAAAAAATTAAGATTGAATTGAGATAAAATAAAAATATAAAGAATAATACAATAACATTTAATATGATAATAACGGTAATTGTACGGTCAGTTTGATACCTAACAAATTTTAATTTTTTAAAATTTTAAAAACACAAAAAACAAAATAAAAATTTTTAATTTTTTAAAAGTTAGAAAACAAAATAAAAATAATTAAAAAATAAAAAAATCATAAGATAATTAAAATAAAAAATTAAAATTAAAATAAATTAAGAGATCAATTTAAGATTTTTTACTATAAAAATGATTCAACATTTTTTTAAGATGTAGTCAAAATTCTGGCGGTGAGCTAAAGGTTATATCTATAAACACATGGTCTATTTGCTATTTGCTTCTTACAAAAATGGTTTTTGAAAGAGATCTATAGAAATGTAAGTAGTGCCATACGGATGAAATTTAAATGTTCTAAGTACATTCTCACCGAATTTTCCACATATTTTAGAAGGAGTACTAGACTAGATATTTTAGAACATTTTCTACATATTATAGTAATGATATTTGTAATGGAGAGTTATATCTATGAATATTTATTATTTATAAATTATAAATAATAAATATTATAATAGTAATTTATATACGGTGGGAAGTAAGTATTATATTAGTTATAGGTCGAAATCTCAACTCAAAATATAAAAGGCAGGGTTTATAGTTGAAGCAGAGAATAAGACAGTGGAAGTGTGTAGTTTGTTTGAGGTAAAGTGTATGGAAAAGTTGTCTAAGGAATCAGGAACTTCACTATTGGTACCATCAGTTCAAGAGTTATCTACAGAGAATGTATCTAATGTTCCAGAAAGATACTTTCAGCCTCAACATCAACAACAAACGGTGTTCATCTCTCAAGAATCTGATGCCACCCTTCAGATTCCAGTAATTGACATTCAGAAATTGCTTTCTCAAGAATCTGCAAGTTCGGAATTGACTAGGCTTCACCTTGCTTGCAAAGAATGGGGATTCTTCCAGGTTACTTGAACATTCTCTTTTCATTCTTCAATTTATCTGAAACGCATGGATCTGATCTGACTGAATAATCTCAATCTGTTAATAAACTGGATTTGAATTTTAATATTGTTTTAGATTATAAACCATGGTGTGAGCTGTTCTTTGGTGGATGAAATAAAGTTGGAGATTAAGGAATTTTTCAAGCTTCCAATATCAGAGAAGAAAAAGTATTGGCAGAGTTCAGAGACTATGGAGGGTTTTGGGCAATTATTTGTTGTGAGTGAAGATCAAAAACTTGATTGGAATGATATGTTCTATATGATCACCCTTCCTACCAAATCCAGAATGCCCCACTTATTTCCACAGCTCTCTCTCCCTTTCAGGTTCTACTTTTATATTTTCTCACACTTTTTGTGTATGCATTTTGTTTTATGCAGTGATAATAGTATAAATTGTACATCTTCTGTGACGCCATTGATGCCTTTTTTAACAGTACTATTTGTCCTATAAAAGATACACTTCAGCTTTTCTAGAGAAACCATCTATAAATGAGATGATGCCTTTTATCACTAAATCAGCTAGGAGTAATGGGTCAACACAAGTCGATGTGTACCCGTTCGAGTTACTTTTTTTCCCTGTACATGGATGAGTTTGGAAACTTTGTTTTTGACTATTTCCAAACACTCATTCTTCATAAAATTTCTTTTTAAATTATATATTGAATAATTTGGATACTAGTTCTCTCCTTAAAAGCTCGACCAAACTTTTAAAGTTAAGGTGTACAAATCAGAAATGTCATATCATAGCTTTATCTTTCATGTCTAACTTTAAACACCTCTCTTGCAAGATTTTCAACTCAAGTTTATACATTCGGTTTCACTTCATTTTTACCCGGATTGAAAGATGACCATTTTTATCCTTCAAATATAGTACCTAAGGAAGATAATAAACATTTCTAATTTCTCCAACTTGTCCATCCTTCTGCATATCCTAAATTGTTTCACGTCCTTTCACGACTGTCATCTCTGAAAGACAAAAAATCGACCTCCACCTTGGTGAGTTCATCAAAGAGAGTTTCATCTCCACACATATGATTACTTGCTCCAGTATATAGATATCATATCGAGTTAGTAGCCATCTTTTTAGTATCCGATTTCAGATACGATACAACATTCGAGTTCACCAACTTTGTTTCTGAGCACTTCATCAGCATTGTCGAGTTCTTTGACAACTCGACACTCAACAAATCCCCCATTTCTTCTTCATTTTCTTCTTTTGTAAGAAAGTTTCTCTCACTTTTCTTCTCAGCTTGACAGAATTTAACAATATGACCAGACTTACCACTATTGTAGCACTTTTTCAATTTGAACTTGTTTGTATAGTGTCATGTTTGTCACACTTAAAACACTTCACTCATGACCGATCTCCTTGACCTCTCCCTTGTCTTTGGCCACGCCAGTTTTACTGATTGGTTTGCTCTTCACTATCATCTTCAAAATTACCTTGGATACGTTCACCTCATCCTTGGTCTCCTCGTCCTTGGTCTCCTCGTCCTCTACCTTTAGGACCTTGGCTTTGAGTATTACAAGTTTCATTTGAGTCAAAACGTGCTTGTAGTGCTTGGTCGAGAGGTTCAACCTGATAATCTCAACTCATTCTCCTTTGTTCGTGGGCTTCTAATGACCCAACAAATTCATCTACTGTGAAAACTTACAACTCCTTCGATTCTTCGATAGCGCATACGATACTTCCGAAATATTTTGTGAGGGATCTCAAAATTTTTCCTACAACCTGGCTAAGTGGCACTTGTTCTCCATTCCTGTCGAGTTGGTTGGCCGCTGTCTCCACCCAAGTTATGTACTCGGTTACCTGCTCTTTGAGCTCATCTGTAGCAGTTAAAACTTCCCTCTGAGAGCTTGTATTCAGACTTGTCTAACACGATTGTCACCTTTATATGCAATCTCCAATATTTCTCGGGCTTCCTTTGCGGATGCGACATTCATTATTTTTTTGAATTGCGACTCTATTGCATTATAGAGAAAAAACAATGTTGAGGCATTTTTTACACGTGATTTCTTTAACGTGGTCATTTGTGTATCGTTTGATGTTTGTCCCTGTTGGGTTCATTGTACCCGTCTTCCACCATATCCCAAATGTCATAGGATCTCAATAACGTCTTCATTTATAGACACCAATTATCATAATTGGCTTCTTTGTCAGATATGGCACACTCATTTCGTTGACAACCTTTGTCATCTCTTTCACAAAATACTCAAGCACTCACTATTTTCCTTAGAGCGTTTATACTCTTTTCTTTCTTCTTTTCTCCTCTCAGTACTCATATTAGAGCTATGATACCATTTTGTATAAAACTCTTATACACTTCCTAGAGACTAAACAAACTGTATACTAGCTAAAAATAATATAACTCTGATTGCTCAATAGACACGGGTTTTATATATAGCCACAACAATAACAAATTACATAAAAATAAAAACAACTAAACTGAAAAACAAAAAAAAAATGTAGACCGTGTTCTACAAAATAAAAACCAACCATTGGTTGTCTAAAGCTGTTACAGTGAAATAAAACTAAATATAATAACTCAAATGTGGTGCAACTGATTCGCAATTGTAGAAAGTAAATAACCTAGTGTCTTTTGTAGAACATGAAGAAAAATAAAAATCAAGATTGTTTAAATGTGATGTAAGATTAAAAACATGATTCTAAATTGATTAATATTTTGCTGTTCTGAAAGTTTGGAAATTAACATAAAAGAAGTAATCATTTATATATGTCAAATAAAAAAAAAATCTATGCTACGTGTTGGTCTTTGATATGCAGAGACACTCTGGAACTATACTCACAGAAAATGAAAGATCTGGCCATGATGATAATTGGACAAATGGGCAAAGCTTTGGAGATAGAAGAAAGGGAAATGAGAGAATTATTTGAAGATGGGATACAAATGATGAGGATGAACTATTACCCTCCTTTTCCTCAACCAGAAAAGGTCATTGGTTTCACAAATCATTCAGATGCAGTAGCTCTAACCATCCTCTTACAGCTCAATCAAGTAGAAGGGTTGCAGATAAGAAAAGATGGCATGTGGATTCCTGTTAAACCCTTACCTAATGCCTTTGTTGTCAACGTTGGTGACATAATGGAGGTAAATCCTTCATTCATATATATATTAACATTATTACAAGGACTTTTGGCCGATGTTTAGCTTGATTTTCTTAATTTTTCAGTTTTAAATGTGTAAATTATTGCAAATAGTTTTTTTTAAGACTTTAATATTCACCTTTTCAAATGTTCAGAGTCTTATTAAGCCTACAAAACTAAAATGCAATTCGGTAATAAATTTTGGGTGATGTTTTAAGGGTATATGTTTTTGAATAAATTATATTTATAGTCTTTTATTTAATTATAAGATTTCTTAGTAGCTTTTTATATTTTGAAGAGTTACTTTTCTATTTTAAAATATTTGGTTTTTTAGTTTTTAAAAAGTAATGATTGTTTTCAATTTTTAACCATTCTTTTTTTGTTTTCTGATTCTATATGCGAAAGCCATTGTATTCATCATATGCATGAAAATTACAGAGTTCGGAACCAAGAGTCAGAAACATGGAAAAAAATAATCTCAATAAAAAAAAATTATTTCATAATTATAGAGAAGTTACTGTTTTTCTTTTTCTCTGTGGTCTATCCTAATGAGATTTAGTTTCAATTTTGCATGTTTTGTATGGCATAGATTATTACGAATGGAACATATCGGAGTGTTGAGCATCGAGCAGCAGTGAATTCAGAGAAGGAAAGACTTTCATTTGCAACATTCTATAGCCCTAGAGAAGATGCTGTCATAGGTCCTTCACCATGTTTGATAACTGAGCAAACACCACCACAGTTCAAGAGTATCAGAGTGGATCAGTATTTTAAGGACTTTTTTGCTCGAAAACTTGAAGGAAAGTCCAACAGAGATAACATGAAAATAGAGCATCCTAATTGAACTTGTTCAAATTACCAAAAAAATATGTTTTTCATCAGTGTTGTTTGTGCACAGTAGAATAATTACATGTATAATAATGTGCACAGTGAATCATCCGTAAGATATATTCGCACCAGTTATAAGGGTTGTATGAACAATAGAGAAGTTAAAATACCATCATGGTTCTATCTAATGATAATCCAAATAAGTTTATGTAAGGAATGTTTGTGTGCATAACATCATGTCATATATGTTCTTCACTCTATCTTCATGACTCACAACATCAATACCACTTAATGCATCAGTAACAGTGAGTTCAACGGTATGCATTCCATGAATTACTACCTCTACAGTTGAATTTGATGAAAATCCAAAAGCTCCTCTTCCCCTTTCTCTGTCTCCTTTTGAACTCGATTATTCTAGCTTGAAGACCTCATATTTGTGTGTTACATTTATGAATCACATCAATGAGTAGTTAGCAATAAGCCTTTATAAAATAGAGTAGCTCCTAATTCTTTTTAGAATAAAAAATAGAAGTGTACGTGAAAATGGAACCTTAGTAACAATCCTCTTATCCCTCTTGAGTGTCATTTGGATGACTTAGGCTCAAGCTAAGAACTTATTCAAGGATCTGTCACTAGTAGCATAATGAAGAGAATACAAGAAAGAAAGGAAGATGCATCAAAAGAGGAAGTGAAGCAAATCCCCATTTGAAAGAAGTTGGACTCGGCCAGCACAACGTTCTCACACCCAACAAAGCGGTGCTCAGCGACAACAATGCACCCAGTGTTGATGGCAAAGTTGTACTGTTATGAGAAAAGAAAAGATGAAAATTGTGTATATTATTTGATTATAAGGAGAGAGTACAATTGATATATATAACTGTTTAAAACAATATAAAAACGGAATATAAATATATGAACATAAATACACAAATATGAACGGAAAATAAATTAAATTCAATATGTACAGGTAGGTGCACTGGTGCAACGAAAAGATATTGTCTTAGTTGTTTTGGGTTTATGACAGCGATTTTACAATCGAGGTATATTCAGGCGAAGTAAAAAGTCAAATTTTTTTGCCTCATTTCAAAAACTGAGGTAAAAAAGTTACATTTTTTGTCTCGATTCAAAAAATCCAAAGTAGTATAGCAATTAAAAAATAAAAAGTTGAGTCTATTACCTCACGGTTCTAGTTTGAACCGAGATCATAGACTCTTAAAATTAATTAATTTAAGGGTCTATTACCTCCATTAGGTCCAGAACTAAGGCAATAAACTCTTTTTTGTCTCAGTTTTTACTAGAACCGCGGTCTAAGAGTTTATGACCTCGGTTCTACAAAGAACCGCTGCCTAAACCCTCTCAAAAAAAGTTCAGTTATTTTATGTCTTCATTCTCTAAACAATCGAGGTAATAGAGGTTTGCGATAATTACAAAAATGTTACTGCGCTAGTTTTAGGCATCAGTTCCTTTTGAACCAAGGCATGTACGTTTGCGATAATTACAAAAATGTCATTGCGTCAGTTTAGGCATCGGTTCTTTTTAAATTGAGGCATATACGTTTGCGATAATTACAAAAATGTCACCACCATTTTCTGCTTCGGTTACAATTAAACATATGTCAAATGCGCGGGTTTTTTGCTAGTGGTGACACTCGTTACTTCATCCTTGTGTCAACCTTTGAGTAAATTTTCTATTTGAGAGAACTCCAGCTTGTTCATTTCAGAAGTCACTTGGGTTGAGAGCTCCTAAAACTTCCTTTAGCCTCCTTCCCCTAGATAGGTTCCTATCTTCTAGTGCAATTGATTACATACTAGCTCACCTCAACCTTCCACCTTCTTCCAAGCACACAAATCTTTTTCGCAAACTCACTTTTGCATTCTTATTTCATTTACGTTGGAGATTCTCTTTATTTCCAACCTTTCCTTGCCTCTTATTTCAATTAAACCACCAAACACTACCTCACATCTAACTCTTAAGAGTCATTATGTTGTGTCTATACTCACGAATATGCCTTTGGAAGCCTCATTTGTAGTTCTGCATCTAGATTCATCCCGAGCGTCTTTCATCCGGTAGTAGTTATAGCACTAGTTTGAGCACGTGTCAAAGATAAGCACAAAATCGTTGCCATAGAGCTTGAAAATTAAATAATTATTTAAAATCTGACAAGGGCTATGATAGTGATTATTATTGGAACCAATGTCATAGGTCTAATTTTATTTAAATTGTTTTTTTAATGTAAAGGTTTATGGCCTTTGTTAGATCCATAAACGAGGCCATAAATCTTTTTCTGCCTTGACTTTTATCATAATTATTGTCTAAAGTCTGCATTTTTTTTTAAATGTGGTTTTTTTTTTCATGACATCCTATATCATAGAAATCACATAAACAAACCTACATAATATATAAATTACGTACATCACAATTACTGACCAAAATATATTTTTCAATAAAATAGAGATTTATATATAAACACATATAATTCACATAATCTCAATGTTTTCATATTCAATTTGTATTACGTAATGAAACAAACTATGAGTGTGGATATTACGTAATGAAACACATGCACATCATTATTTGTACAAACATTATTGATTCATGGAATAAGGTATTGAAAAACAGACTAAATATTTATCTAATTGTTCATTACAATATTGTTTTGACTACATTATTTTATTTGTAGACTTTTAATTATTCATCTCGAATGGAAGGTCCATACATGGAAGATTTAGAACTAAGTAGACTTCTTTTATTTTAAGTGTTGGTAATTTGTAGAAACTTGACTACAAATTTAATATTGTATATGTAGGTTAATGTAATATTTGGATTGAATATATAGTTTTATGTACAAATAATATATTAAATATTATTGGACAATTTAATGTATGAAACAAATTTCATATATTGTTTGTTTGATTGAATTTTTTTACTTTTAAGTAAATTGATTGGATGAGTTGGTAAAACAGAGAATAACATTTAAAAAAACACAACATTTCTATGACGTACATCACATTGTTTGTTATAGTATGTTCAATGTAAAACAACACGTATAAAACTTTAAAAAAACAATATGACGTACATGACCATGTATGTCATAGTAAGTAATTGTGAATAACACATATTGTGACATGTGAACGAATATCTATCATAATATATCAAAAATATTATGATAGGTGAATATAACTACGTCTTAGAAGCTAATGATAGGTAAACATAATTATGTCATAGTAAATTGAATATACTATGATTAATAATTTCAATTATGTCATAATATACCAGATATATTATGTCAAGTTACAAAAAATACATCATAATAAATTAAATCTATTATGACGTACTTTTTCATAACATCATAAAATGGACATACTTTTTATGACTTTCAAAACTATGACGCTAAAACACTAGTCATAATATGTCTATTTCACTAGTATTAAAAACTTATTTTTGTTCTAATGCGGGTAAGAAAATATTTTGATACATATCTTTATATATTTATTGGAAAAGGTAAAAAATTAAAATTAATTATGTACAAGTTTTAAAATATTTAGGAGTATATGAAAGAATTTACCCAAATTAGTTTTGCATAAGTTAATTTCATTTTTTTCTTTATTTTAATGTAGGTATTTATAAAATAGTTTTGCATAAGTTAATTTCATCCATTAACACTAAATATATACGAAAATTTAAAATTTTGTATGTAGAGGTTTCCTCTTCTAACTGTTTGAAGAATCTTTATCACTACCATTTTCTATTAACTCTTCGACAAACACAAAGAAATAATAAAGCAAAACAAAACCATTCTTTATTTGGAAGGAAACGAGCTCATGTTCGTGTGTCTAACAGTGATTGAATAATCTTCTAGAGACCACTTTGGATGGAGTAGGCGGAAGGTAATTTTTGACCAATGATTTTAATGAGTCAAATCTATTATAGTATGCAGTCATAAATATATTTTATGATTATCTTTGTAACATGAGTCTATTTGAGAAATAACTATAATATATTAAAATTTAAACAATTTTTTTATTTATTTATAAATTATATATATATATATATATATATATATATACAAAAAAAAATTAAGGAATCAAAATCTTTCACAATATTTAAGCTTCACAATATTTTGTAATATTTGAATAGATTGCAAAAATTATGAATTGCATCACAATATAAGATTAATTTTTAAAAATAAAGATCTGTCTTAAAAGGACTACATATTCACATCTCTTTGTGCGTATTTATCTAGCAACATTTTATGTAGACGTATAAAGGCATTCCTAATGTTTTATGTTTTAATATTATTATTAATTATTGCTGATATAAGAAAACACGTGTTCAAAATACTCTCTCTTACTTTATAAAGAATACGACACACGTCAAGTAAACGTTATCTGCGTCTTTAATTTGTTTTGGGTTCATTCAATTCTATCTTATCTTGAAATTTATTTACATTAATTGAAATATTATCAAACAAAGATTAGGACACTTATTTTGTGTGAAGCTCTAAATCATTAAAGTTAATTTAGTTTGTACATTCTCTTATATATTCAACAACCATAAAGCATATATATTAAGTTAACTTTTCGTCATCATTTACAATTTTAATTTAACTATTATTATGATGCTAAAATTGTAATTGACGAAGACATGATTTATTCCGTGAATGATTTAATAAAAATATTTCACATGCAGGTTATCAATTGGGAACTCTAAGGCATGGATAGATATTTCTCTTGTCATTGCATTATTTAATGAGTGTCTGGTTCGCACACTTCTCACAATTTAGAACGATTACAATTATTGAGTAGAGGTTGGTTCTGGCAAACTAAGATCATGGAAAAGTTCTCGAACGTATCAGGAAGTTCAGTTTTGGTACCATCAGTTCAAGAGTTGGCCAAACAAAATTTGGCTACTGTTCCAGAAAGATACATTCAGCCTCAACATGAACAGCAAATGGTGCATATTTCTCAACAACCTAATACTGCCACCCTTCAGATTCCAGTTATTGACATGCAGAGATTGCTTTCTCAAGAATCTGCATCTTCTGAATTGGATAAGCTTCACCTTGCTTGCAAGGAATGGGGATTCTTTCAGGTTTCTTCAATTTCCTCCTTCTTATTCTTTAATTTCATACTTGATAACTTGATAACTTTTTAACCTGATTAAGAAGTGAACTTACTGATTCGATAAAATTTGTATCGACTTATATATTATAAATTGATCTTATCTCTAAAACGTACGAGACTTCTAATATACTATGTTGAGGTATAAATCTAGTTCTGATATCATATTAAAAAATAGATTTTAAACCTGACTCAATTCCACCAAACTGATTTATAAGTTGAAGTTTACCTCTATTTATATACTATAAATTAGTCTTATATCTATTAAATATCAAACTTTCAACAAACATGATATTAAAATCATATTAAAAATATATTTTTTATAAAATTATGAAGTAAATTTATTATGAACTCAGAAAACTAAATTAATTAGAATTTCAATATCGTTTTACAGCTGATAAACCATGGAATAAGCTCATCGATGGTGGAGAAAGTGAAATTGGAGATGGAAGATTTCTTCAACCTTCCAATGACGGAGAAGAAAATCTTTTGGCAAACTCCAGAACACATGGAGGGTTTCGGACAAGCATTTGTTTTCAGTGAAGATCAAAAGCTAGATTGGGGTGATATGTTCTACATGATCGCCCTTCCAAAGCACTCCAGAATGCCCCACTTATTTTCACAACTCCCTCTTCCTTTCAGGTTTTGTTTAATAAAAAAGTTGATCATTTTATAAGAAAAAAATTTATAATCTCTTTATTTTAAAACTGATATTGTTTGTTTATTTAATTGAACTGTGTCTCATTATTGGTTAATGAAATCTTTGAAAAACTCATGTTTATTTCTTAAGTAATTGGTTTTTGCCATGATGCAGAGACACTCTAGAAGTTTACTCAGAAAAGATGAAGGATCTAACTATGGATATTGTTGGGCATTTGGCAAAAGCATTGGGGATAGAAGAAGTGGAAATAAGAGAGATATTTGAAAATGGGATACAAATGATGAGAATGAATTATTACCCTGCATGTCCTGAACCAGAAAAAGTGAATGGCCTAACAAATCATTCAGATCCAACAGCTCTCACCATCCTCTTACAAATAAATGAACAACAAGGATTGCAGATAAGAAAAGATGAAATCTGGGTTCCTGTTAAACCCTTGCCAAATGCCTTCATTGTTAATGTTGGGGACATCTTGGAGGTAACAAAATAGTAAACATACTTATCATGTTAACTTTAACTGTCTAGGGTTTTTCTTTCTTCATTTTCGAAAAGATTTAGAATCGAAAAAAAAAATTCCTAGTTTTTGTAAATGGCTTGAAACCCAGTTAAGTCCAGTTCATTTTTGGTAATTATTATATAAATTTATGTTTCTAGTTTGTAATACTAATTTTGGTCAAGACAAGAATAGAAAGTTCAAGTCCAATAAAAAAACTCCATATAAAAGTAATGGTCCATACACATTTATAATGTTCATTTGCTATCAACACAGCAAACAGAAAACACCAACACAAGCAGTGATCACGACAACAATTTAACAACAGAAAGACTATATAAGTCAATCGAGATATATATATTAATAAGCATTGTCAAATTTACATAGAATTACACAGTTCAAAGATGCAAGAAATAACTCTTATTTCAGTTATAGAATTGCTTAATGAATTGCTATTTTTAGTTATACGGAGAGTTCTCAAATAAGAGATGTTTGGAGTAACTCAGTCATTTTTACATGCAGACATTTTGTAAATTGCATCTTCCTGATAACATGATATCTTCATTATAGTTTTTATTTTAAGCCATGCAAACGAAAAGGTCGCATTCATTCTGTGGAAATGAAATCATGTGTCATTTTCTATGGCCAAATTTCAACAGCGACATTGACGTGTTATTTCTTGCACATTGAATGAAATTACTGTTATAGTCCATCAGATAGGAACTGAACATCACAGAAAATTTCGCTCATAATCATTGAAATGATTGTTTTTCTTTTTCTACATGTGGTCTATATAGATCCTAATGAGATTTAGTTTCAATTTTGCATGTTTTGTATGGCATAGATTATTACGAATGGAACATATCGGAGTGTTGAGCATCGAGCAACAGTGAATTCAGAGAAGGAAAGACTTTCATTTGCAACATTCTATAGCCCTAGAGAAGATGCTGTCATAGGTCCTTCACCATGTTTGGTAACTGATCAAACACCACCACAGTTCAAGAGTATCAGAGTGGATCAGTATTTTAAGGACTTTTTTGCTCGAAAACTTGAAGGAAAGTCCAACAGAGATAACATGAAAATAGAGCATCCTAATTGAACTTGTTCAAATTACCAAAAAAATATGTTTTTCATCAGTGTTGTTTGTGCACAGTAGAATAATTACATGTATAATAATGTGCACAGTGAATCATCCGTAAGATATTGAATGTGGTCCTATAGCACGTGTAATGTAATTTGTCATCTATATCATAAATGTATGCTTGATGTCCAATCCAACTAAATTGCGCACGTTTTGTTCCCCACTGATATTATGTATAGTATAAATAAAGTTATAGTTAAAAAATAAGAATTTAAATCTAATTCAATAGCATAAAATTGATTTTTAAAATAAGATTTACGTAAAAAGGTTCAACATACACATAAATTTTTACCCTAGTAAGATATTGAGTTTGCGATTTTGCTTACGGTTCTTTCGTCAAATAACTGGGGTGCACATAATTTAGTATCAAAAGCAGAGTCCCAATGAAAGCATACTGTACTGGAACAGTAGAAATTGAATTTGAAAAAGAAAAACAACACGATCGAGCAAGCAGCAACCGATTCATCTATCTTCGGTGGTTGGATTATTTTAATTCCAAAATCAAGCGGGCGGTTTGTAGAGATAAAATCAATTTTCACCAAATAATTTAAAGATAAAGTTCTATCCCATTGAATTTAATTTAATCATTTTAATGATAAAATCGAACATTGTATCATATTCTTGTGTTTGAGTCATCTAATACAGTTGTTCTTTTTGTAAGGTCTCATACTTTTGTTTTATAACATCTAGTACTATGCATTGTCTAACGTTTTGTGGTTTCTATTATTTCGTGTCTAATAGTTTGCATCAAATAAATAGAAATAAATTAAAAAAAAATGAATAAAGTGCTCAAATAAAACAGAAAAGTGAGGTTGGATAGAAGGAATCATCTTATACACAAGTTAAAGAGGATAGAATTTGTAAATTAAAATAATATTTATAATTTACTAAAATTATTGACTCTAACAAGTCAGAACTAGACAATGATTTCCTCAAATTGCAAGTAAATGACACAGCATCCAAAGAAGTCATTGGATCGTCATGGAGATGCAACAAAAGTTATGGAGATATATGCGGTAATTATGGGAGTGTAGAAAGCAAAAGCCATTCTAATAGAAAAAGACTAAAATATTCTTTCTCATTACATCACACCACCAGAAGAAGAGAGAGAACACATGGAAAAAAGCTCGTTCCAAAAACTTTTTTCAAAATACATTTCATATATTCCAAAAAGCTTATTTCAAAAAACTCATTCCAAAAGATATTATACGTTTCTGAAAGCTTATTTGAAAATCTTGTTCTTGAATATTTGTTCCATATATTTGATGCATTCTAAAAATTTTGTTTTGGAAAATCTTATTGTGAAAAATTCATTCTAAAAATCATATTCTGAAAATTCTAGAAAGTTATTTCAAATAGATAATAGAAAAGGTTTTAAGAAAATATGGCCATAAATACATATTACAAATAATGACAAAATATCTTAGATGAAAAAACTAGCATCCAGCCATTGGTTAAAAATATCTTAATTTACACCAAAAGTATCTACGTAGGTGCATTAAATGTGAAATTTATTGTCAATAATAGGTATTGAAAATTTAACCAAATAACAACGAAAAAATCTACTTTATTTCATTTAGTTATCAATTTTATTTACGTTCAATTCTATTGGATTTGTTTAATGTATTGTGTAGTCCATGAATATTATTGCATGTATTAATTAATCTTTAGAAACAGCTCAGTTCGTTTTGTGTAGTTGAAGAATATGGGTGAACAAATACTTAATAAAACCCTCATTTCTAAATTCGTTCCAAAGTTTTACATATTGTTTGAACTCAGTCCTAAATGGATGTGCTGGATTGACTTTTCACACTTCCTGTTCATAAAATTTAGGTTTAATGTCTCGGTAGGTCCCTATTTTCGGCGTGAATCTCAAATAGGTCCCTATTCTTTTCGGCGTCTCAATTGGGTCCCCATTTTTGTAAAATTGTAACAATTAAAGGCCTACCGTCAAATTGGACAAACGGCCGTTTAATTGTTTATTACGTGGCATGGTCAGTATTTTCAGTAATCATAGGTGGAATTAAAAAAGAGTTTTGTATTAAAAACTATGACGTTAAATCAGCTTTAGAGAAAGGGCACAGTGGGAATTTCCACTTCATCTTCCCCTCTCCTTCTCACACACAACCAGAGTTCGATGATCTCGTTCAGAGACTCTAACCGATGATCTCGTTCGGTGGTGAGTATCTGCTGATTCTCCTTTCTCAGCTGAGCCACTTGGGTAACCAGATCGTCCAAGTGCTTCTCCTTCCTCATGCGAGATCGCTGTGCAGATTCGCGATTCGATGTCATTCTCTTCCTCTTTCTCTGATCCATTAATGCTTGCAAGTCCTCCTCAGAACCCGAGTTCTGAAGCAGAGAGGATGAACCCGAACATGTTCCGCTTGAGGAAGCCATGGGTCCTGCGCCTAACAGTGCGCGATTTGTGATTGTTGGGTTCTTCTTTGCAGGTCTGGTTTTTATGCAGGTTCGATTGTAGAGCGGGAAGGTGCGGTGGCGTGTGATGGCTGCCATGGAGGTTGGGCAACGGCGAGGAAGCTCGCGAGGTGAGGGAGGTTAGTGGTGGTCGCGGCATGGTTGGTGAAGATCGCGAGGTGATGATCCGAGATGAAGGTGCGATTGGGTTCCGAGAATGGAGAAGATGAAGATGGTTGTGCCAAGCTTTCGTCAATGGAGGAGAGGCGCGATGAAGGTTGCGGTGGCTGGTGCGTGTTCGATGATTTGCGTGTGAGAAGAGTGGTGTCGCGGCGGCTGGCGTGGTTGATGGTGGTGGAGAAGAGGACGGTGACTTTGTGCGACGGCGGCGAGATGTTGGTGATGCGAAGACGAACTCGCAGATGGCGGTCGTGGTGGCTTCAAACCCTTGCGCGAAGGAGAAGGAAGGTGGCGGCGGTCTTGGTTGAGGCACCGTGGTGGTCCGTTGATGCGCCGGCGAGAAAGGAAGGAGATGATTTTCTGGCCGTGGCGACGACTTGCGGCATTGGCGGGAGCGGCGGAAGCGGAACGGCAGTGGCGGCTAGGGTTAGGGTTTCAGTGGGTGGAAGATGATAGGGCTGACGTGGCGCGAGGTTGAAGAGAAGGTGTTTGATAGAAAGTCAGTGTGAGATGGGAATCATAATCAGTTTTCCCACTATGCCCTCTCACTAAAGCTGATTTAACCTCATACTTTTTAATTGAAACTCTTTTTTAATTCCACCTATGATTACTGAAAACACTGTTCATGCCACCTAACAAACAATTAAACGGCCGTTTGT